TAACAGAGAAGAAATTGATATACTGCACATTCCAGCTCTGTGTAGAGACAGACACAGCGTTGTCTCAGAGCCGGTCGCCTCCTCTGAACCTCTGAGACCACGACAGGGTTCTCCGTGCGTCACACCAGGAAGAAGAAACAGAAACTTCACACCAACTTTAACTGTCAGTGATTACACACTCTGAATAAAAGATGCTTGGAGCTCCGGTTTAGCCCATAAAAATACCCAGTAACACACACATTAAACACACACACACACACATGAACACACACACACACAGACACACACAGACACACACACACAGTAACATCACTGTTCCTCCCTCACACACTGAATCCTCCCTCACACACTGTGTCCTCCCTCACACACTGAATCCTCCCTCACACACTGTGTCCTCCCTCACACACTGAATCCTCCCTCATACACTGAATCCTCCCTCACACACTGAGTCCTCCCTCACACACTGAGTCCTCCCTCACACACTGAATCCTCCCTCACACACTGAGTCCCCCCTCACACACTGAGTCCCCCCTCACACACTGAGTCCCCCCTCACACACTGAATCCTCCCTCACACACTGAGTCCTCCCTCACACACTGAGTCCTCCCTCACACACTGAGTCCTCCCTCACACACTGAGTCCTCCCTCACACACTGAGTCCTCCCTCACACACTGAGTCCTCCCTCACACACTGAGTCCTCCCTCACACACTGAGTCCTCCCTCACACACTGAGTCCTCCCTCACACACTGAGTCCTCCCTCACACACTGAGTCCTCCCTCACACACTGAGTCCTCCCTCACACACTGAGTCCTCCCTCACACACTGAGTCCTCCCTCACACACTGAGTCCTCCCTCACACACTGAGTCCTCCCTCACACACTGAGTCCTCCCTCACACACTGAGTCCTCCCTCACACACTGAGTCCTCCCTCACACACTGAGTCCCCCCTCACACACTGAGTCCCCCCTCACACACTGAGTCCCCCCTCACACACTGAGTCCTCCCTCACACACTGAGTCCTCCCTCACACACTGAGTCCTCCCTCACACACTGAGTCCTCCCTCACACACTGAGTCCCCCCTCACACACTGAGTCCCCCCTCACACACTGAATCCTCCCTCATACACTGAGTCCTCCCTCACACACTGAGACCTCCCTCACACACTGAGTCCTCCCTCACACACTGAGTCATCCCTCACACACCAAGTCCTTCCTCACACACTGAATCCTCCCTCTCACACTGAGTCCCACCCTCACACACTGAGTCCTCCCTCACACACTGAATCCCCCCTCACACACTGAGTCCTCCCTCACACACTGAGTCCTCCCTCACACACTGAGTCCTCCCTCACACACTGAGTCCTCCCTCACACACTGAGTCCTCCCTCACACACTGAGTCCTCCCTCACACACTGAGTCCTCCCTCACACACTGAGTCCTCCCTCACACACTGAGTCCTCCCTCACACACTGAGTCCTCCCTCACACACTGAGTCCTCCCTCACACACTGAGTCCTCCCTCACACACTGAGTCCTCCCTCACACACTGAGTCCTCCCTCACACACTGAGTCCTCCCTCACACACTGAGTCCTCCCTCACACACTGAGTCCTCCCTCACACACTGAGTCCTCCCTCACACACTGAGTCCTCCCTCACACACTGAGTCCTCCCTCACACACTGAGTCCCCCCTCACACACTGAGTCCCCCCTCACACACTGAGTCCTCCCTCACACACTGAGTCCTCCCTCACACACTGAGTCCTCCCTCACACACTGAGTCCCCCCTCACACACTGAGTCCCCCCTCACACACTGAGTCCTCCCTCACACACTGAGTCCTCCCTCACACACTGAGTCCTCCCTCACACACTGAGTCCCCCCTCACACACTGAGTCCCCCCTCACACACTGAGTCCTCCCTCACACACTGAGTCCTCCCTCACACACTGAGTCCTCCCTCACACACTGAGTCCCCCCTCACACACTGAGTCCCCCCTCACACACTGAATCCTCCCTCACACACTGAGTCCTCCCTCACACACTGAGTCCTCCCTCACACACTGAGTCCTCCCTCACACACTGAGTCCTCCCTCACACACTGAGTCCTCCCTCACACACTGAGTCCTCCCTCACACACTGAGTCCTCCCTCACACACTGAGTCCTCCCTCACACACTGAGTCCTCCCTCACACACTGAGTCCTCCCTCACACACTGAGTCCTCCCTCACACACTGAGTCCTCCCTCACACACTGAGTCCTCCCTCACACACTGAGTCCTCCCTCACACACTGAGTCCTCCCTCACACACTGAGTCCTCCCTCACACACTGAGTCCTCCCTCACACACTGAGTCCTCCCTCACACACTGAGTCCTCCCTCACACACTGAGTCCCCCCTCACACACTGAGTCCCCCCTCACACACTGAGTCCCCCCTCACACACTGAGTCCTCCCTCACACACTGAGTCCTCCCTCACACACTGAGTCCTCCCTCACACACTGAGTCCTCCCTCACACACTGAGTCCCCCCTCACACACTGAGTCCCCCCTCACACACTGAGTCCTCCCTCACACACTGAGTCCTCCCTCACACACTGAGTCCTCCCTCACACACTGAGTCCCCCCTCACACACTGAGTCCCCCCTCACACACTGAATCCTCCCTCATACACTGAGTCCTCCCTCACACACTGAGACCTCCCTCACACACTGAGTCCTCCCTCACACACTGAGTCATCCCTCACACACCAAGTCCTTCCTCACACACTGAATCCTCCCTCTCACACTGAGTCCCACCCTCACACACTGAGTCCTCCCTCACACACTGAATCCCCCCTCACACACTGAGTCCTCCCTCACACACTGAGTCCTCCCTCACACACTGAGTCCTCCCTCACACACTGAGTCCTCCCTCACACACTGAGTCCTCCCTCACACACTGAGTCCTCCCTCACACACTGAGTCCTCCCTCACACACTGAGTCCTCCCTCACACACTGAGTCCTCCCTCACACACTGAGTCCTCCCTCACACACTGAGTCCTCCCTCACACACTGAGTCCTCCCTCACACACTGAGTCCTCCCTCACACACTGAGTCCTCCCTCACACACTGAGTCCTCCCTCACACACTGAGTCCTCCCTCACACACTGAGTCCTCCCTCACACACTGAGTCCTCCCTCACACACTGAGTCCTCCCTCACACACTGAGTCCTCCCTCACACACTGAGTCCCCCCTCACACACTGAGTCCCCCCTCACACACTGAGTCCTCCCTCACACACTGAGTCCTCCCTCACACACTGAGTCCTCCCTCACACACTGAGTCCCCCCTCACACACTGAGTCCCCCCTCACACACTGAATCCTCCCTCACACACTGAGTCCTCCCTCACACACTGAGTCCTCCCTCACACACTGAGTCCTCCCTCACACACTGAGTCCTCCCTCACACACTGAGTCCTCCCTCACACACTGAATCCTCCCTCACACACTGAGTCCTCCCTCACACACTGAGTCCTCCCTCACACACTGAGTCCTCCCTCACACACTGAGTCCTCCCTCACACACTGAGTCCTCCCTCACACACTGAGTCCTCCCTCACACACCGAGTCCTCCCTCACACACTGAGTCCTCCCTCACACACTGAGTCCTCCCTCACACACTGAGTCCTCCCTCACACACTGAGTCCTCCCTCACACACCGAGTCCTCCCTCACACACTGAGTCCCCCCTCACACACTGAGTCCCCCCTCACACACTGAGTCCCCCCTCACACACTGAATCCTCCCTCACACACTGAGTCCTCCCTCACACACTGAGTCCTCCCTCACACACTGAGTCCCCCCTCACACACTGAGTCCCCCCTCACACACTGAATCCTCCCTCACACACTGAGTCCTCCCTCACACACTGAGTCCTCCCTCACACACTGAGTCCTCCCTCACACACTGAGTCCTCCCTCACACACTGAGTCCTCCCTCACACACTGAATCCTCCCTCACACACTGAGTCCTCCCTCACACACTGAGTCCTCCCTCACACACTGAGTCCTCCCTCACACACTGAGTCCTCCCTCACACACTGAGTCCTCCCTCACACACTGAGTCCTCCCTCACACACCGAGTCCTCCCTCACACACTGAGTCCTCCCTCACACACTGAGTCCTCCCTCACACACTGAGTCCTCCCTCACACACTGAGTCCTCCCTCACACACTGAGTCCTCCCTCACACACTGAGTCCTCCCTCACACACTGAGTCCCCCCTCACACACTGAGTCCCCCCTCACACACTGAGTCCCCCCTCACACACTGAGTCCCCCCTCACACACTGAATCCTCCCTCACACACTGAGTCCTCCCTCACACACTGAATCCCCCCTCACACACTGAGACCTCCCTCACACATTGAGACCTCCCTCACACACGAGTCCTCCCTCACACACTGAATCCTCCCTCATACACTGAATCCTCCCTCACACACTGAATCCTCCCTCATACACTGAGTCCTCCCTCACACACTGAATCCTCCCTCATACACTGAGTCCCCCCTCACACACTGAATCCTCCCTCATACACTGAGTCCTCCCTCACACACGAGTCCTTCCTCACACACTGAATCCCCCCTCACACACTGAGACCTCCCTCATACACTGAGTCCTCCCTCACACACTGAATCCTTCCTCATACACTGAGTCCTCCCTCACACACTGAGACCTCCCTCACACACGGAATCCCCCCTCACACACTGAGACCTCCCTCACACACTGAATCCTCCCTCATACACTGAGTCCTCCCTCACACACTGAATCCTCCCTCACACACTGAGTCCTCCCTCACACACTGAGTCCCCCCTCACACACAGCAGGTATTGTTGTTCCACCTGCAGCAGAGGCCACAATGAAGCACACAGTTTGTCTTTATTCAGTAAACCTTGAAGCCGTGTGTAGGTGTGAAACTGAATGTAGGTTGAGTTGTATAGATGCCAGCCTTGATGCAGATGCTTTTACCTTTGACCTCCCCCAGCAGCTCATTAGCGTTCAGACGATCAACGCGCTCCTTCCAGTCCCTGGAGAGGAGCCTCTCCATGCAGGTTGGCTCTATAGAGAAGACAGAAAATAATCACCTTCATTTCTCAGGTTTTGAACTCAGACTGATCGAGGATGGTAAATGGTTAGTGGACCTGAACTTGTATAGATCCTTTCTAGACATCCGACCACTCAAAGCACTTTTTACACTATGAGTCACATTCACCCATTCACACACACATTCATACACTGGTGGCCGAGGCTACCAGACAAGGTGCCACCTGCTACTTAGCTTTTTGAACTCACTCACACACTGATGGAACACTGACTGGGAACCCCAGTTTGGGGTTCAGTATCTTGCTCAAGGGTACTTGAGACTGGAGGAGCCGGGGATCGACCCGCTGATACTTTTGACTATTTTACAGAGAAAAATAAACATGACACACATGTGTTTCCCTTTTCCAAAGGCATACATAGAGAACTGCAGTGCTTTAATGAAATGAGAGTTCCTCTTTGAACACGGGCAGATTCCCAAAGTGGAGATCACTCGTAGGGGCCCATTCTGCATCCAACACCCCCACCCTCCACCTCATGGGCCCCAGCGCAACCGCACTGCCTGCAAAGTCTATATTTACACCTCTGACCAAGGTGGAGGAATAAAAAGGCCCAACATGATCACACTGTCGTACTGTTGAGATGATAATTAGATCAGCAGGTAGCACCTGTTGAGACCTAACTGTTGGGATTGTCCACTAAAGGCGCCTGAGACACAAGCAGGAAGTGAGAGCTGCAGTATGAACCAGGGGAAAAAATGAGACAAAACGAAGAGACAGTAGAAGAAAAAGCAGCCGTTTCTATGAATCGTTAAATTTCTAAAAATGAGCACAAGAAACCGTTTCAAATAATAAAGAGAGAAAAAATGTGCAGCAGCCGTGGAGCTGAGAATGTGCGCATTGTTCTGAGACGGGGTCCGTCCTCTTCCTCACAATGTGTCTCATAGCCTCAGGACAACAGACACATCACAGACATGTGGTCTCAGAAGATTCATAAGGTCTCATTTGTTCAATCAGAGTCCTGCTGTGAACTTTACTCAACAATGGGAACTTTTCAATTCTTCAGCAGGCGCAGACACAAACACACAGACGGGTATCTGCACATGTGCAAGCACGACTGTTTGTCTGCAGCGTCTCCATCACAGACAGACAGTGAAGAGCACACACCGTCAGGTGTCACTGCAGGAAGGTAACTGAGTACATTTACTCAGGTACAGCTCTGAGGTGCTTTGATTCATTCCTTTAATCAGTTAATCAGTAAGTATTTTGAGCTCTGCTGCATTTATCTGACCGTTGCAGTTTGTTTGCAAATTATTACATGCAAAACAGTTTAAAGAGCAATATATGAAACATTAGTTCATGTCAGCTGCGTCTCAACCGAAACAACATCCAGATTCTGCTGAGCTTTAAACATGAGGATGACAGGAGCAGGTCTGAGTCCTGTTACTGCCTCTCCACGGTTACTTCTACACCTGCAGCTCTCAGGTTTGCACCACCTGTGTGTGTGTGTGTGTGTGTGTGTCTGCATGTGGACATGTCCACACACTCCTTTAAAATGTGTGTGTATTCTCTGGTTTTCGTGCCAGCAGACGCGCCACAGATGGTGTCACGGTCACGTAGGGCCTCATGCCGAAGCCTCAGTCACCAAGGACGTCAAAAAACATACACACACACACACACACACACACACACACACACACACACACACACACACAGAAGAAGGAGACATTCTTGGGTGCTGTGTGGAAAACATGCGCCTGAGGCCTTGCCTGATTTAGAGTGGTGAAGTCAGACAATAGCTCATTTGTGGAGCCTTTATCCTGACAAAAGGAGCTATAGGCGTTCAGAGGGGCACATGGCCTATTGTGCACGGCTTAATGTTTCCTTTCTGCGTATGGGCCCATTGTGTGGTCCAGAGATGCCGTCCACTTCCTGGTTGAGTCCATTAAAGCCCCGCATGTTTACAGTCGGATTATGATCGTTGTAAATAAGCTAATGCGGCCGTGCGGATCACATGGATCAATGTAAACAAGGGAGGGGGCGGGGCAAACAGCTACGAGACAAAGACACAACTTAAAATCTACAGAAATAATGGTAATTTCCAGACGACGGGTATTTCCACACAGATGGTCACTAATATAACCCCCTCCCTCAGGAGCGTTCCACAGATCCATCAGACCAGCGGCTCCACTGGATCTGGATCTGTGTACATTTGGTTCAGTGGCTGATATTTACAGCCGGCAGAGGGAGAACGCTGAAACGTGGGGTCAGGATGAGATGCTTTTTTTTCTCATCACAAGACCGAAAGACGCCGACGCGCTCTCGCTCAGCGGGCCTCTTATAAAACAAAATTAGGAAGCACAATTTATGGGAGCACTTAGGAAGGAAAATACAACCTGTAACTCCAGGACACATCTGCATAAGTCAAACGTGTGTGTACTCTGATGCACAATTTATACCCCCTCGACCAATAAACAGATCTGACGCAGACACGGTGGGGGGCGGAGGGGTGAGGTGAGAGTGGGGAGGAAAAGAGGAAGAAGAGAAGGATGAGAGAGGATGAGACGCCGATGTTTTACCCTAGATGGCTCTCTATCTGTCCCTGAGACCCAGCCGGGGATCAAGTGCTGTTTAGATTGGAGGGTGGATAAAAATTCCTCGCTGTCCGGACACCAACTCCTTTATCAAGTGGAGGAGAAACCAAAGAGATGGATGGGTTGAAGAAGAGGAGGGAGAGGAGGATGGATGGGGTGAGGAGATGAGGAAAGGTAGATGAAAAGGAGAAAAAGAAGGAGAGACATCGAGGAGGGAAGGAGGACAGAGGACAGGAGGAGATGAGCTGAGGATGGAGGTGATACACACAGCTGTATGAGTCTGAATGGACGACGCAGACACCAAATAAAATGGCGACATTAAAGATCATGTTTTGGCTCAAAGGTCCAGTGTGTAGGACTTAGATCTGTTTAATAACAATCACTAAACCAAGAACCATCGTGTTCTCGCCACCACAGAATGAGCCTGTTATATATCTAAATACAGAGCGCTGCCTCTTCCATGAAGTCCGCCATGTTGTTCTACAGGAGCCCAGAGCGAACAAATCAAACACTGGCTCCAGTCAGGGCCCTGCATCTCCTACACGTGTGACGCACAGGAGAAGTTTGGTCTGGAGGCTCAGTCCCAACGAGACAAGCAGCGATGTCTCGGTAAATAACAACCATTTCTCATGCTACTGTCCCCACTGGACAAACAGCCCTGTGTGGCGCCTACAGAGCTGCTGGAAACACAGCAATAGGTTGCTACAAAGTTGCTGTAATAACAGTGACAGGTTGCTACAGAACAGCCTCGTATGGTGCCTCAGCTCAGACACTACGGCACTTTAGGAACATTAAAAATGTCGCCTAACATTTTTGTGGTTTGCAGAAAAAAACAAAGCAAACATTTTCTTGTGGCGACTGAGCTGCAGCGAGAGGACGAGACGCAGAGAGATCAGAAACATGAGGAAGAAGGTAAGTAAGAAAATAAAGACATATTTATATACTAAAGTCTTTTATTGTTATCATGTTGTACCTGACAGTTGTTGTAACCTCCGGCCATGAGATCAGAGTTTGTAATTGGATGTAAACCAGACAGTTTCAACAGCAGCAGAGAAATAGAGACAGAGAGGATGAGTAAGCAGTAAAATAAAGGAGAGAAGAAGACAGAGAGTCGTAGTAAATCAGCGCCGAGTGTTTAGAGGTAAACACACTTTTATCACCTGTCCCCACGCCAACCTGCCAACAGACACTGTTTGGGGTGTTTTACACCAGCCACAGGCAACTCACTGTGTGTGTGTGTGTGTGTGTGTGTGTGTGTGTGTGTGTGTGTGTGTGTGTGTGTGCGCGCGCACGTGTGGCAGGCAAGCATCAACACTCCCAAAGAGCCGGTGCCAAGAACAACACGGCGTGCCACAGGCCTCCTCTCAGACTGAGTCTGTTTCCACCAGTTAAACGTTTCTCATGAATCAACGCTTCAATAAAACGTCTCAAACACAGCTCAGTGGGAGTTTATTCACATTCACACGGTTTCTACAAATGATATCCTCAAAGTTTCACAGAAACACTGAAGTCTGCTGGAGAACAGAGCAGAGATGTCTATGAGCTAATCTAAGAGAAATCATTTTTGTTTTTCTCCACTGGTTTGGTGTCAGCCATGCCTCTAAATATGACAATAACCGTGAGCATGCAAACAGTGGTGGCAAATTCTCAAATCCCTGTCATCTGTCACCACACCTGCAAAATTCATCCATAATTCACTCAGGATCTGAAAGACTAATATCCTGCACAGGCGCACTGCAGATAATGAAGTGACTCAACAGAACTGTCAAACACACAACTGGTGATCAGAGTTAAAGAAAGTAATCTGACACATCGGGAATACCTTCATGTGTCTGTGTGTCTGTGTGTGAGTGTGTGCTGGGAGCAGCAGGTACTGAATGAGGTCTGCAGCAGTGAACCAGGCTGTGATGTGTCCACAGTTTGTTTCTGTCCCTGACAGGATCAGATTGTCACTGTGAGTGTGTGACATAATGATGGAAGGATCCCTACAGAGATAGAGTTAAAGATCCAGAAACAGTCCTGAAATCAAACCCACCAGACTCCATGTATCCTGCTGTCACTGAACACTGGACACATTTCAAACGCTGCTCCACTGAGTCACTGACACAGAGTCCAGACTGAGAAAACACCCAACGACTCTTTAACCGTGAAGACTAAGACCACTGTCACGTCTTCAGTGGACGATCACCAACACCTCCACAACTCAGTAATTAACACATTAAATTTGGGTTACTAAATCCACACATGAACCAAAATGTAAACTACAATTTGTGGTTGTGACGAGGTTACATGCAACAACTATTTCTTGGCCAGTGACTTCCTGGAGTTTCCCTGGTTGGGTGGAAACCTCACGGTGACAACAAGACTGCAGAGAGACACTTTAACACTGCGGGGGGGGATTTTTATCATCATAATTTTTATGCAC